TAATGCGCAGCTTTTTCAGTGTGATCGCGCGCGCACGCCTGGACAAGTTAGCGGCCTCCCGCGGCTATCTAGGTAACTTGATTTTTCGGTCACAGACGCACAGACGATTGTTCGCTCACAACCAACGGGGCCGACGCCGGCGGAGGGTTTTCTGCGACACGAGCTCTTTAACGCTATCGCGTTAAAGCTTTTTTAGCTCAGTCATCCGTTAATATCTTTCCTACGCCAATAACGCCTCTAACAACAAGAAAGTATTCACTTGTCCTAAATTGTTATGGAAACCAGTGTAAGGTGCATAGCCGCATTTAAGGTAAACCAAACAGATGCCTTAGGCTAGGAACAAGGAAAACAACACGTTTTCGTTTGACGTACAAAAAATGAACTTCGGCGACAGCATCCCATGCTGCAGTGGGGTCTCGAAGAAGTCGGTCTCTGAGAAAAGCGGACACTCCCACGCTATTTCTAAACAAACGAGTGCACATTTATTAACATGTTTTATATAACGGCTAGCCTCCCCACCTAGTATAAGGAGTAGCGCATACCATGAGAAATAGCTGAATGTATTACCAACACATGAGGTTTGTAGAGTGACCATATATGGAAGCAAAGTAATGCCCGCGTCACACGGGTGTTTAGAAGGCCGTCGAACCGATGGTCTATTGAGTCAATGGGCATACACGCGCTGCCACATGGGTGGTTTCGAAGGCTATCGCGTCAATGACCCACCAAGTCGACGGAGCACCTCACAACTACATTGAAACTTCAACGGACATTGAGCGGCGGAAGCAAAAACAGCGTAATCACGCCCTCTCATTCCCAGTGTGCGCGTACTCATGATTAGAAAATTAAATAATGAACGAGTACGCAATGAAAGCAGTGTGTATGGGCGTTATAAGTAATTTAATATACTATTTGTGTCATTTAGAGTGTACGAATTGCTCTAGCTCAATACTCGCCCGAAACAGTGCTCCTTATCGCGGACGCGTTTATCAAGCGCGATGACTTCGCGCATGTCAGTGTTTTGGCGCTCGAGCAGTGGTCTGACTGTTTTGACGATGTAGCGAAAAGTATCCGGCATAACGCGGAATGCTCGCTTGATCGATATGTGGGGTTTAACGTCCCAAAACAGCCATATAATTATGAGAGACGCCGTAGGGGAGGGCTCCGGAAATTTCGACCACCTGGGGTTGTTTAACGTGCACCCAAATCTGAGCACACGGGCCTACTACATTTCCGCCTCCACCGGAATTGCAGCCGCCGCAGTCGGGATTTGAAGCCGCGACCTGCGGGTCAGAAGCCGAGTACCTTAGTCACTAGACCACCGCGACAGGGCGCGGAACGCTCGCCTAAAGTAGTCCTCGCCAAGCAGTGTCACGGTCTTCTTGAACCACCTCGTCTGCCGAGTGAAGGACCACCCTGCCCTTTCCGCACTTCATCCGGTCACCGCGTTCATTGTTGGCAGCAAATTGTTCACAAGCCACATTTCTTCCTCGATGGCGTCAGCTTCTTTCGCCGCTTCGATTGCGGCATCAAGCTCTATAGTCGCACTCATACAGAACACCATAGCGGCCTTGTCGTCTGCTTCGCGGTTCGTGACGGCTGCACACATGCACGTAACAGCCAGCTGTCACAGCGCACTCCGACACGTGTAAACATGTAAACACAACCGAAGAACAAGGAGGTTCTATACTATGTCTTCTGGAGTGGAGCTGCGCCATGAGAACTGACGCCGGTCGCCGCCATATTGGAAAAGGAAAGACTCAAAAGCAGACGACAAAGTGCGCTTCGTAGCTCCACCCTCACAGTGGCCTTTGGAGACTGTGACATGCTTTTGTAAAGAAGTTAAAGATTTTGCAAGGCCATGGTGACTTCGTGCGTCGCTTATGGCGCACAAATTGCATCAAGAAGACGCCTGGGATCAATTTTCACGTGTAAGTGTTCTCGCTTCGTTCGCTAACAATCGCCTGTATTTTTCTCGTATGCTGGTAAATTAGAAACATTATCAAAAGTGCGCATGTGTGTAATAAATGCGTAATGGTCTATGGAAGGTAACTTGAAGCTTTCAATGCTCACTGACACGACGTTTTATATGAGTATTCAGTTTATGGACAAAGCACTAGCTTGCAGTCTATGGCTGCACGTATCAAACATTGGAACGAGTAGGACGTCTCAATGCCCTTTATATTGCAAGTTCCCTGGTGTTGTCTTACAAAGCAAAACTGACGGCGTGCATGCACATTTTTTTTGGCGAGTGAATGTCGAATTTGGTGCATGTTTATTGAGGAATTCGCAAACGTAGGAATTATTCTATGCCTTGATTATCCGTGTTACAGGTTTCCGAAAGACAGTGTGCTGCATTCTGTCCGGGAACATGCTGTTCGAAGAAATAAATTGAGGGCTACGGAAGGTCACCACCTCTGCACCATTCACTTCAAAGAATTCTGCTTCAACAGAACGGGGCAGACAACCAGACTGCGGCCTGGCCATGCACTTTCGATTTTTTCTACTTTCCGAACGCATCTGCAAAAACCAGTTAGTTTCTACCACCTTGACGTAGATTCATTAGAATGTAGGCACGAGAGTAAGCAATTGCGTCTAAAACGAGATTAGACACCTTTGAAATGCGTTCAATCTTGCCGAAGAAACCGAAACCAAAACGCAGATAGAAGAAGTTGCCAAAATGAGTGAGTGGCGTTATATTAAACATCGAGCTACCTCGTTTCTGGGCTCTGAAGGCTGCGCTTGCCATGACAACGCACGTCGCCAACGGAAGTTGATATATATTACGCAGACCTAACGCCACCGCAATCGTTCTTATAAACGGTTCAGTTTGGGTACGTTTCCTGGAGTACGTCTTCTGGAGTTTGTAGGTTGCACGCGACACCAGTGCTTTGGTTTTGGTTCCGCCTGTAAATTGGTTAGATTTCGATAACTCTAAAAAAACTGCTGGTGACTCCAAGTTTACTTAATTACCTCTCTTTTCTTACTTTAGCTTTAATTATTTCAACTTCCTTATATGTTCTCTGGTAATCTACCGACACACACACAAGCACATATATAAAAGAGGCAAGCTAATGTCGCGTTGCCCTTCATCTTTAGTATCCGCTGGCACATTTCTTGAAACACCCATTATATACTACGATCCTTTTGTACCGCAATAGTGCGCCAGCAAGCTCGATATGCGAAGCATCTCTCGACAACAGATTGATCTGAAAGCGTGCACCTGACAATGGGTGCATGAAATAATTTGTTTCATAAACAAGAAGAGGCATTTATTCGTTGGTGTAACCTAAAAGTGGTTTCCATCTTATTTTTTATCGTGGAACTGCAAACTGACACGCGCAAACCGCGTATTTTGTGGCGGTTCTGGTCCGCCCTGTTTTTCCTCTGGCAATAAGGCCGCCGGCGGCTTCACTTGCTCCCGTTTGCGGCGGCCGGGACTGCCACTCCAGAGGTTCTATAGAACATCCTTGCCGCTGAACAGCAAATAAAGCGGTTATAGGGTTGCCACAGTTTCGCTGCTCAACGATTGAAACTAATTATGCATTTAAAATTCCTGTAAACATTTATTGGCATGTTTGGACACAAACAACAAGCAAAAGTGTGCTGTAAAGTAGATTTATTTGGTTTTATTAATGATGACATGAAAAAGAAAATAAAAACTTTGAGCGGCACGAAATTCTTGCTGGAAACACCTGAATCACTCAACGGCCGTTGAAAACTGTCGTGTGGCAGCGTGAGAACTCCGTCGAGCTCGATAGAGTTCTAGCGCTTCGATGGCCGTCGACTCAATGGCCTTTCAAACGCGTTCATGTGACGTAGGTATGACACATACAAGGCACCACTAATACAGCGTCGCCGATGTTGGACTTATCACTGGAGCTTATGGGATCGAGTAGCGGTGTCACACCTACGGACCACCCGCAAGACCAACCATCCACTGCCAGACTACGCGGAGAGGGCTACTCCGCGTGTACACATTTAACCCCGATCCCGCCACGCGGTGCCAGTGCGCGAGCAGAGCGCCAACTCTCGCAAAGACGTGCTGAAGCTGAGAACGCTAATTACGATGGGTAGGCACCATCACACGAAAGTGGATTTACAGGACGTGAAAGCGTCCCCACGTTGACCAAACATCATGAAGCATGTAAACTACCGAAGAACGCTGAAGTTAATGCGGGTGCCGTTTAAAGGTGATTTCGCAAGTACTTACACATATTAGAGCGAACTAATATGAATACTTCTGTGTGTATGAGCTAAACGGAGACTACGATTTGCAGCCAACTATAGTAGTGTACTACGAAGTGAACTACTTGTACTTTTTAACATTAAAAATTATAACTTCAGGCGCTGTCTTGAATCCAGTAACTCGCACATTGAACGCTCATCTGCCATTTATTTTTATGTTGGGATTACGTGTTGGGTGAAACTGCTACAAGTCATTTCATTTAGCACCGGCTATGGTAGATTGTAGGGAAAACTTCACTCATTTCCAAAGTTTTAAGAATATTGCGTGCATGATTTCGACAGTTGACCTTATTGTGGAACTTCTGCAACTGCCAGCTATAACGCTACATTGTGCGGTGTACATTGTACGCTACATTGCACTTCCCTTGGAATTATTGTCTGTTAGATCTCATTAATATTGTGTAAAACACGGAAAACGAGCCCATAAATGTACACTTCTTTCTAGATAGATAGATATTACACACACACACACACACACACACACACACACACACACACACACACACACACACACAGGCACGCTCAAAGTCGCTGAGAAATGCTTCGCATTTAATACCGGGAACACAGGGGGAGAAAACTCAGATTGGGGTTCTAGATTGTTGCTCGTCTTTCGAATCATCTGTGTCGAGTGTGTGCGGTGAATTCCCGCGTACCATTTCATAAAGATCATAAAATTTATCTAGGACTGGCGACAGACTTAACAATCGCAGCTTTGGTTATTATATCATATGAAACGATCCAAACACACAGCGCTTCTTTGAAACTGTTTACTTCAAGCACACCTAGAGCGGCATTATAGCACGTACACGTTTCCGTTAGAGTAGAATGATATCCTAGGAAAACGCAGCACATATTTGCAGAACTGTAGTCTCTTCAGCAAACGCCAACACCATAAAGGCACCAACGAGAACTATCGTATGACAACATTACTCAACTATGTGAACACTGAGTCAATTGTAAAACCATTATAATACAAAATATCAGCCATGGTCTAGTATAAAAATACATATTGGTAGTTACGCGTTGGCTAAAAAAGTACGAATGCAACATAAAGAGATCAAACGATTTTACAATTAGCACTACGGCTTCAGCGGAGTTCTATAAATGTAATAAAACACAAAATTCGTCATCTTAGCATTTTTCTCAAGAAAGGGCGGATGAATGAATTACGCGTTCTTCTTCTGATGTGCAAACGTTTCGAATAATAAATTGAACCTTTTTCATTTTCTTTTCATGCACACCAAAAACATGATAAATGTGGACGCGATAAAATAAAGAAATAAATAATGAACGAAGCGATTAAAAAAATTCCGTGAAACTCCAATGTCCCATGCGTTGATAAGATGCAATGTGCGTAAGCGTAGGTTTTGCTCTTGGACCATAATATACAACAGCATGATCACACAATATTTTCTTAGCATTCTCTATTACAAAACAACGCTCAATGTAGAGGGTTGCCCGTTAAAAAGTGCTCATTGTCATTAGAGGCAGCTTATTTAAAACTGGCTCGATAGTTCTTTTTACGTGCTTCAAGTTCATATGAAGGCTGACGCAGCATGACGCCTTTGTCAGTAGATAGAGTGTTGAGAGACCAAAGAAAAAAAACAGTGGCCCCTCAGATGTCCACGACATCGGTCAAGCTGAGGTAGGAACAGATGCGCGCCTGCATGGCACGTCCGATATTGTCGAGCATAGTAATTTTCTTCTGTGATTTGTGACTTTGCTGGCACACAATCTTGGCTTTGACGATGCCCGCGAGGATGAAGTAGTTCAAAGTGAGCTTATCGCGTGCTTCGGAGACCATCAACCTAGCTGACTAGATGGAAGCGTCGGTATAGGTGTGCAGCCTTACTACCAACGATTGACAGTGCTGCAAGGTCTCGAAGGCCATGGCGTCCGTCTTCTCCATGGACCCAGTAACGAACCGCAGACTTTGGCTAATGAGCACCTGCATTTTGCACAATACAATTAGCCGTGCAACCTCAGCTTTTTGCTATCTCAGAATATCATTGAATTATTCTCCTTGAACTTGTAGTACACTGATATATAAGTCGCAAGGAGTGCAATATTTCAACCACTTAGAGTGCAGTTCCGTCCCGTTATAAAAACGGTTTAGATACACTTTTATACTCATGGCGGCTTTTTTCGCATGCACTGTAATAGTAAAATCACTGCGCAATACACAAAGATTCATAATATAATAATATATAATATTTAGGTTAACGTCCCAAAACTACGAAAAAATTAGGCGATACGCAGTAGTAAAGAGCTCCGGAAATTACGACCCCTCGAGTTCTGTAACGTGGACCTAAATCCAGGCACACGGGCCTCAAGCATTCAACTAAAATTCCTAATGCATCTACAGTGCCCATTTGCCTACTGTGTCATATTTCACATTTCTTTCCATAAGTAAAGTTGCCTTAACGGATTTCCGAGGCAATGTGCATGACAACAAAACTGCTAGAATTGATGACATAGCGGATGATGATGAGTTACGGCTGAGCCTTTTGTAGTAGATGGGGAACGTCACGCTCTGATTATGCAGATTCTGTGGGGTGACGCCTGTCACACGTGTTACCACAATGTGTTACATGACACGTGTGATGACGTGGCTCTTCGCACTGCATGACCTACGCATGCCCGTTTTGAGACAGCTCCAAAGAGTGCCACGACTTCCGGGTCGCCCAAGAGACTGCTACATGGAACGGCGGAGCTCGACTCTGGCTCAAGCCCCTCATTTGAGATGTGAAGCAGCTTATGACGGGTGCTGCGTACGTCCCTCTCTTCTTCCTCCCCTAGGTGTCCACAGTCCCAAAGCGCATGCGCGTACCCTTCCCCTCAATTCTCTCCTACGCTCCGCCTGTTTCTCTTGTGGAAATCCTCCACCCTACAGAGTGGCGTGCATGGCACGTGGTACGACAGCTTCATAATCCGGTGGGGGCGCCCTGGTGGTTCCTCGATATAAAATGACTGAGTGCGTTCGACTCATTCTCTCCTGCGCAACGCCAGCGTCAACGCCGTCGCCAGTGTCAGCGTTAGTGCCAGCACAAGCTCTCAATAAAGTACGCCATCTCCAGCTCAACCAAAGCATTTCCCCGCTGCTTCGCATCCATACCAGGTTCCTGTAGTGGGAGATTGCGTACAATTTTATTGTTGCGATAGCAATTATACGGAACGTCTCGGCTGGATTTAGCCGCAGGCGTCTGCGTCACTCATATATATATATATATATATATATATATATATATATATATATATATATATATATATATATATATATATATATATATATATATATATATACTCACTCAGATGGCTACATACACACTCAGATGGCATCGAGGCAGTTATCTGCGCGTACAACGATTGCGACGCCAACAAACCAGTTTCCGCATCTACGTTAGCTACGTTGCTTAAGCTCATTCTTGAACTTAACAATTTCAAATTTGATGGGACACATTATGTTCAAGTTAGCGGTACATCTATGGTCACAAGAGTCGGACCAAACTACGCAAACATATTTATGGGGCTCCTTGAAAACAAATTTCTTGCAAATTGTGAATATAAGCCATTTTACTATAAGCGGTTCATCGACGACATTTTCCTAATCTGGCACCATAGTGAATCGCAACTTCTTTCTTTCATAGCAGATGTTAACAACGCTCATCCGGCGATTTCTTTTTCGCACTCGTATTCACCAGTGAACATAAGCTTCCTTGATGTCATGGTCACTCTACGTAACGGGAAGCTGATAACTAATCTTTACAGGAATCCCACGGATAGGCAGCAATATCTTCACTTTAGTAGTAGTCACGTGAAACAATAAAACTAGTATTCCCTACAGCCAAGCAGTCCGTTTTAATAGATTATGCTCTGATAGCAGCAAATTTTCCCGCCACTGCGAACAACTTCGGAGCGCGCTCGAAAAACAGAGCTATCCGGCCAGCATAATCACAGACGCCATCAAACGTGCAGAAGAGCTCGACCGCTCAGACCTGCTGAGTACTAACAAAAGACCCAAAGATTGTTCGCGGACTAATCTAATTTTGACACATGCGGCCTCAGCTCCAAATGTGAACCATATCTTAAAGAAACATTTCAACATTTTAATACAGAGCGAGCGGCTCAAAGGAATCTTTACAGAACAACCACGCGTGGTCTACCGACGATCGCGGAACCTTCGTGATTTACTAACCTCATCTAAAACCACGTGTTCACATCATGAAGGCTGTCATCCCTGCAACAAACCACGTTGCAAAGTGTGCGCGCACATGACGACATCTAAAACAGTTTTAAGTACATCGTCCAGTTTTTCTTTAAAGATAAATGGGAACCTACACGTGTGATAGTATCAACGTCATCTATCTTCCCGAGTGTTCAACCACGGCCGGACTCGACGCTCCTTCCGCACGCACCTTACGGCCTTCTCAATACCGGCGCCGCGCATATATTTTTTTTGACGCGTAGAGGGCAGCACCACCTCACTGTAAGCTCCGCCGGCTCCCCTCGTCACCGACTGCGACTTTTCTTGACTGCGTTCGATGACCTCGGGTAAACAATGCATCAGACACGCTCCGGCACGCTAACTGCACTAGCGTAGCCATGGTTTATTGTTGCGTGCCGACTGTGTAAGTCACAGCAAGGGAAGACACCGGGTGTGTCGTACCACCAAGTTCCTAGCGAGGAGGAACTGTGATCGAAGTGGAGGAAAAATGTTTCACGTGAAAACCTCCTCATCAATGACAAGTCCGCGTCGACTGTAGTGTGCAGCAAACACTTCACGGAAAATGACTAGTGTTCCCGGATATCGTATCCGGAAACTGCGTCCAGGAACCGTGCCTACGGTCTTCGATCAGTATCCTTCGTATATGGTCCCGGCTACGAAGAGGCCGCGTAAAGAACCTGCAGCGCGTGGCCCCTCGGCCACCTCGGCTCCTCGACAGCCGACGAAACGGAAAGCGGAGTCATCGCCGTCTGCCTACGGGGAGTGGATACATCGTGAAGCTCGTCAGTGAGTTTGAGTGTGGTGCTTGTGTTACGATGCTGACGACTACGAACAAAGCTGATCCTTTGTATGTTCTGTTGCACAGCCAGGACAAAAGTGCACTCCACTACCCAAACCGTCTGTTTTTGACACTGTTGGACAACATTGTTACTTTCTTTGAAAAAAGCTGCTAGCAAACTTCCACGTACAAAAGTGCATGAAGTGCTGCAACTTGTGGTTACCCCACACCTCGAACAATCACCCGTCCTCATCTGCCCAGAGGGTGTAGACAGCAGCCACGCAAGGCGCACAGCTCGTTTAATTGCGGACAAATTCTTCAGACTTCTTCTCGTTAACTACATCAAGATGGTTAGCGATAGAAATGAAAAACCACTTGCGTATGTGCACAAGCCGTCTAGAAAATATTTCAGACTGTGATGAGTATGTCATGGAGGTTCGCTTTATTTGTACCATGCATTTGTGTTTGTGTTAATTTGTATTGCTAGCGTGGGTTTGAAAGAAAAAGGTATTTGTGCTCACCTCGCACAGAAATTGTTTCTTTATTTAAGTTCTAGTCCACCATACGACAAAATAAATATTGCTTTTTTTCTCTGAATTTTGTGCGCTGTAATGGATTACTGTTGCTTGTGACAACACGCGTGTGCGAAAATCCGGGAAAGCTGCCGGAATGGTTGCGACTGGGTAAGCGGGGCTCTCAGAGGTCGACTATACTATTTTAACCTCATCACATGCAACGACCGAGCTGTATTGTGTGGATAAAACGTTCATCTTCAAGAATTCAGGCGCCGCAGTTGGTTCTGTTCCTCGTACTCAGCGCTGTTATGATGGCCATAGCGCTGTGGCGCGCACACTGCGCCCGTGAACGCGCTTGGAGGCGGCGGAGCTGGATGGATGGATGTGGCTGTACCCATTAGATTGGGCGGCGGCTAACGCCACCTAGCCGTAATACTTAGTGAACTAACCATTACATTTATCCTTTTTTTTCCTTTAAATAATGAAGTTGAGGATTCGTACTTCGCAGTGAGGGGTTTAATTTTCACTCGTGCCTTGACTTTGGCCACCAATCAGATAACCTCCTTCTAGTTAAGTCTACCCGCTTAAAGCAACAGTGGTCTAGCAGCGCCACCCCGAACTCGGCGGCAGGCAGCAAAACGCCCCAATGCGAAGGCCGTAAGAGGAGCGCCGGAGAAGGAGTCGAGTCCAGCCGTGGTTCAACATGCGGAGCTCAGTACATAGGGACAAGTTTCAGAATTCGTTTTAATAATCACCGTGCACATGCCGTAAGCCTCCCTAATCTACCACTGTCGATGCACGTCAGTATGCCTGGCCATGGTTTGGACAAAATTAGGGCCACTATTATTCAGTCCGGTTTCAAGACAAATCACGATAGGGAAGTGAGGGAATCCTTCTTGATCCACAAATTTAGCACCATTCACTCAGGTATCAATGAAAACGTAGGAAAGCTCACCTGACTCGCACTATAACAACACGACTTCTTAGATTAGTAAAATATTTTAGCGTATATTAAAATGTATACTAGTCAACCGTAGTTTTTTTACTTCAGAGCTCTTTTACATGTCCTGCCAACCATACTGTGCCCCGCGTGTCGATGCGCAAGGAAATTTGAAACTTGTATATTCATGCACCCGCCGCATGTCAGTCATGTCAACACAAGGTTCTGACAGATTACCATTTTTTTACTTTGATTGTCCTAGCTGCTATACCGAGAGTTTATCACGTGAGCCTATAAAAGCGGCTGCATTGTATCATACCTACTATATATATATATATATATATATATATATATATATATATATATATATAAACTGTGCGTGCGCGTGCGCGTGTGTGCGTGCGCGTGCGCGTGCGTGTGACGGAGGATGTGATGGAATGGATGGTTTGTAGAAGCAGAGGAGGAAGAAGTGAGAATGGAATAAACATGG